AGTGCCTCGGCATTTTGGCATGGTGTGGGGGCTCACAACTTGAATTCCAGCATTTGGGAGGTAGAGGCAGGAGGATCTCAGTGAGTTTGAGGCCAGCCTAATTTTCACAGCAAGTTCTAGGACAGTGAGACCTTGTTTCAAAAACAAAACAAAACAACTCAAAACCCAGACAGAACTTTAGTATCTCCATACTAATTTAAGAATCAATTTATCAATTCCTGGTAAAAAATATTTCTAAGTTTATGCCTAGGTTTTGGGAAGTCTGCAGGACAACTAGAAACCACTTAGAACTCAGGTCCACGAACATGGTATCATATCTGACTCATATCTCCTTTACCTCTTCCAAGAGATGTTCTGTAGCAGAGAGAATTTAACTGTGGTTCTTTTGTCAAAATTTCTTACTTCTTAGTTTTAGATGTTATTGTAGTTTTACGTGTGTGTGTGTGTGTGTGTGTGTGTGTGTGTGTGTGTGTAGTTATAGTGGTTTGAATAAGAATGGCCCCTATGGAATCATATATTTAAATGCTTAGTCACCAGAGAGTGGCACTATTTGAAAGGATTAGAAAGATTAGGAGGTATGGTCTTGTTGGAGGAAGTATATTGCCAGGGGTAGCCTTTGAAGTTTTAAAAGCCCATGCCAAGCCTAGTGTCTTTCTCTCTGCCTATGGATCAGGATAAAGAACTCTCAGCTACTTCTCCAACACCTTCTGAATGTCTGCCTGAATGCCATCACTCTTCCCACCTTGACAATAATGGACTAACATCCGAAACTGTAAGCAAGACCCTAATTAAATGATTTCTTTCTTTTTTCTTTTTTCTTTTTTTTTTTTTTGACTTGGTCATGGTGTCTCTTCACAGCAATAAAACAGTGACTAAAACAGTGGTCCTGGGCACTGATCCAGTATTGTGCACACATTAGGCAAGAGCTCTACCACTAACTTTTGACATTATATTGAGGCCAAGCTGGCCTTACACTTCCTCTGTAGCCCAGGGTGCCTGTGCTTATGGTCCTCCTGCCTCAGCCTCTCAAGGAGCTGGGATTACATGTCCATATTATCAGCCTCGTTTAAATTGTATTATAAATGCTACATTTGAAGATCTCATTTTCTGACAGTTTCTACAGCACAGAATACAGGGTCTTGTAGACCTGCCGAGATGGCTCAGTGGGTAAAGGGACTTGTCACCAAGCCTAATGACCTGAGTTGGTTGTTCTCTTCTGTCTCTCATGACATTTGACATTTGAGAGGAAGCTGGCAGGTCATTTTGAAGGTGTCCCTCACTATTAGATCAGGGCTCTGTAGAGTGAGGTCAGGCCTCTCAGAGCCCCATCTAGAACAGATCCCCCCACACCCTCCATCACTTCCTTCCCTTCAGCTTGTGTTTATCCTGTGCCAGAGCCAGGTGTGCCACCCTCGGAAGCCAAGGCCATGAAGCTGGCTGTGGATTTCTGCAGGGATCCACACCACCCTGTATGAGCCGATATAGCAGCTGCATCTTACAGGGAGGACCTGAGTCAGCCATGCACCCCTGAGGATGTGGCTGTCCTAGTCCTGGCTCAGCCTCCCACAGGCCACAGATGCTACAGCCTTTCCTCCCCTGTGAGGCACCACCACATTATGACAGTAGGACTCCAAGACTCAGCTCTTAGGGACCAACCAATTTTGGGGGCATACAAGATGCCATCAGATGATGAACTCTTGAGGGCTGATTTTTTGAGCAAGGGCTTTCTGTGATCCTGTGGTTTCAGGTCTGAGCCAGCCCACAATGGACTCAAGGCTACCATCACTCTATTACTATAGCAGCTCTCTCTATAAGCTTCCCACTGAAGCAAGATTAATAATATCCAACCTAAGACTGTATCAAGTAATTACACCTTTTAGTGCACCTGGTAATTTTTATCCAGCTGGTGCTAGCAGTCAATCAAAATGCCATAAAAGGGCTTCAGAATGTGCTAATGACTCGCTCACTCTGTCAGGCATCATGGGGGTGCATTCAACTCTTGGCACTAGAATGGTGCTTGGAAACAGCCTTATAGCTTATCCATACAACTCAGCTTCTCTAAGGGCTGTGCTTCTCCACACAGGCCAGCTTCTCTGCACATCTCAGCTTTTCTTTAGAGCTTAGCTTCTCCATCTAGTTCATCTTTTTTTACAGGGCTGGGTTTCTCTCCAAAGCTGGGCTTTCTTTTCCACACAGCTCAGCTTCTCTGCAGATCTGGACTTCACACAAGCTTGGCTTCATTCTGCCTCCTGTAACACAGCTGCCTTCCATATAGAGCCTTTTGAAGCTCTTGAAAAGTTTCAGGCTCCTGAACAATGGCCAGGAGAGGAGATTAAACTTATAGCACCCTCAGTCTGCCGGGAGTGAGTGCCCTTTGACATGGGAGACAGCAAGGCACCCCAGTGGCCCTTTCCAAATGCACACTGGCCTTGAGGAGCAGCATACAGTACAGTCACAGTACGGACTCAGGGTCATCACTGTGGTCTGGCAAGCACTGATTTCATCCGCGTTAGTTACTGCTGGCAACGCTGGCTCCACATAGCTTTCTCACGGTCTCTTGCAGCTGCCCATCCTCCTGTTGGGCTGTTGTGACCCTTCATGTACCTAACATGGGGAAGCTCACAGGCACTGGAGAGAGTTGGGGGACCTGGGTAGATGTGGGGGGGCACAGCTGAGGCCTCTCCGGGAACCCCGGCCACAAGAGCAGAGGAGGAGCACAGTCAGTCACGGGTTCATGTACCAAATGACCTACCTGCTCCAGAGAACAAGTATGCAAAGAGCACCTGGGAACCAGGTGACTTTCTTATTTTCTTCTTTAAAAAATCATTTATTTATTTATTTATTTATTTATTTATTTATTTTATGTGCACTGGTGTTCTGTCTGCATGTATGTCTGTGTGAGGGTGTCAGGTCCTAGACTTACAGTCAGTTGTGAGCCACTGTGTGGTTGCTGGGAATTGAACTCAGGTCCTCAGGATGAGCAGTCGGTGCTCTTAACTGCTGAGCCATCCCTCCAGCCCTAACCAGGTGACTTTCAATGTTCACACATAAAACCACAAAGCTACTGGATCCTTTTAGTCCCCGAAACAACCAGTCAGGTGCCCTGATCACCACCACATGTGCACCATTTGAGATTCATGGGATAGGACATCCTTGGGGACAAAGGTATCTGGGCCAAGGCCAATGCTGCAGTGTGGAGAAAGGGGCTTAGCCTGCCATGCTACAAGTATACATGTGCCCGTGGAGGCAACAGGGACCCTCCTAAGGTGTCTCCCTCACTGAGGTCCACACCCTATGGAGTGGACTCACTGGAAGATGGTGAAGAAGACGGCTACTCATACTCTGGCAAGCCTGTCTCATCCGAGAATAGGCTGCCTTCATCCACAGAGCAGAGGGCATCCTAGTCAGCTTTCACAATCAACTTGATAGAGCCCAGGAGTCACTTAAGGGATTTCCCAGATGAGATGGGCTTCCAGACATGTTTGTGGGGGATTGTTAAATGGCATAGGAGAGCCAACCACAGTGGGCAGCACCATCCCGAGGCAGGTGCTCCTGGACTGCACAGGAGAGCTAGCTAAGCATGAGCTTCAGAGCAAGCCAGAAAAGAGCACACTTCCATGGTTCCAGTTTTTGCCTGAGTTCCTGCCCTGACTTCCCTCGGTGATGGACTATGAAGTGTACACCAATAAAACTTGGGCAGAGTGTTTTATCACAGAAACAGGAATCAAACTAGAACAAAGGATACGTGGTGCCACTTGAGCACCAGTTCTGGTCAAGATGCAAAGCCACAGAGAGACAGTATAGGTTCCAGAGGGCTCACAGTGCCCTGTACTACAGCGTCCGCTCCTGAGTCAGCAGCTGACAGATGGTCAGGAAGGGGCAGACACAGCTGACCCTATGAGCATAGGCAATGCCCAGAACAGTCATGAGGTCACCAGATAAGCCTGAAAATCAAGATCTGGGCAGTCAGAGAAAGATGCAGAACGTTCTAGATTGAAGGAAGTTTTGGTTTGAAGAATCCTGTCCTCATACGGGAGCTCCCTGCTCACATGATTCAGGAGCCTGTTCTTTTAGATGTGCCTCGGCTTCTCTGCATGTTTGGGTTGGTCCCCTCAGAAAACATAAACGCCAGCCAAGAGATCCGTGTAGAGAGAATCTGTCCAATAAGGCTGCAGTATGGAAGAGCTAACAGCTTGTAATTCTAGAAGAATAAAGATCCCATTAAAGAGCCAGAAGTGGCAAACAAGGAAGTGGACACGGCCGCTTTCTGTGTAATCCAGAAGTCAAAAGCAAGACACCTCGCCCTCACTTCAAAGCTTCAAATAATGTGTCTGAAAATTTCAGCAGTGCACATTGGTAGAAGCAAAAGCAGCAGGGGAAGCAGCAAGGACACGGGGTTGGGGTAGGGAGGAGCAGACTTGCGTAGAGCAGCCCCAGAGCAGGCAAAGGCCGTCAACCCCACAGGCCGTTACATGATTCTCATGCTAGGCTAGGAAGATTTTGAACACATCTGGCTTATGTGAGAGACATTCTTAGAAGCAAGCAAGCTAGGGACTCAACAGAAGTCAGACACAGAAAGAGGCAGCTAGAAGCTGCCCCAGTGCAAGAAGTAAGGCTCCCACTGCAGTACATTCACCAACACATCTCAATGGCACATGACTTTCATCATCATGAAACAACCTTGGAGACATCCAAGACATTCTGAGAGAGGACACAGCTCTTCCCCAAGTCTCCTCCAGAAAAGGACTCAAAGTCGTGGTTGCTTCCCACAAAAAATGATTGTGAATGTGGCTGGCAGAACAGATGAGTGGACTACTTACAGCAGGCCATCCTGCGCAGGGCTAGGCCAATGTCAGGAGAGCAGTTACAGGTCAGCACCGAGGCATCCAGGCTCCAGATGAGCCAGCCCAGCCCAGCCCAGCCCAGCCCGGCCCAGCAGAGTTACAGGTGTGCTCTGAGGACATTATTCCCAAGTACATTTACACGACAGTTCCACTTACCGCTCCAAGCATGATCCTGAAGATCAGCCAACGAAAGCCCCACAGGACAACTCGGGATGTGGGGGTGTGCCTAGGGAGGCGGGACAACGTCCAGAGAGGGCACAGAAAGATTCCCAGGAATCCTGTTTCCAGCAGCTGTGACTCCCATCCTGCAAGGGGTGGGGGGACGGGACGGGATGGGACACACACAAAGAGGAAGGTCAATAGGGTGAAATGTTTACAAAGCAATCGCTCCCAAGTTCAGCCTGACCAAGAAGTCCTTAAAATGAGACTGAGACTTACGACAAGAAAATGTCACTGTGTGTCTGTCTTCATAGGAAACAAGAGGCAGAGCTCTGAGCGGGGTGATCCAGAGCCCGGGACCAGAGAATTCTGCAACCCTGGGTTTCCTGCTTTTCAACAAACAAGATCTGTGCTGCCCAGTTTAGATGACGGTTGCCATCCTGTGTGGGGTGCAGCACAAACTTTGTATCTGAAACCCACACTTAGGTATGCCTGCCCACGGGCATTTGCGGGAAGCCTTTTGTTTTTAGGTTTATGTGAAAAATCACAGCTGTAAATGTCCTTCCCAAGGAAAGTCTGCCAGCATAGACATAGGTACAACACACGGCACACTCTGGGAGGGCAGCTCTCACTCAGACCCAGGTCAAATGAGACAGGCAAAGCTGGCAGCCAGGGAACAGCAAACCCAAACACAGTGATTTGTGAGCCCTGGAGAGGGCAGACTGCTCTGTGTCTGTGTAGACATTGGTTATTCTTCCAGTGGGGACTCAGCATAGGAATGGCCATGAGGACAGCCCACATGTGAGCCTGGCATCCCCAAAGACCAAAAAGAGGGGAGTCCTGTGGCACAGAAGGCCCCACTGCTGGCATCGCTATCACCATCTAAGGGGTGGGGGTGACTTGATGGTGCTAGGGATGCCCTCTCCCTACAAGTTCTTAGGATGCCAGGCAGGGCTGTGCTGTCCCCTTGTGCTGACAATCGGACATTCACAGTGACGGGAGTGACTATGTACAAGTGTACCTCACAGAGGAAGGGGCAGTTAGGAGGACTGCAGGGTAAGTTCCAGAGGACAGAGGAACAGGGAGCTCCCCACGCTGCCTTTTTCTATACAAATTATCTTAGAATTAAAAGTTTACAAAATAGCTAATTATAATGAAGTGATAATACTGTAGAAAGTAGAAACACATGAGTCCACACCAACAGAACCAACAAGTGACTTAACAAATACACAGGGCCAAGAACAGATTTCCCAGAACAACTCCTCATAGTACAAGGGTCATGGTCCTCTGCAGGAAGAGGCTGCCCAGCACCATCTTGCCATGGCGTGGGGACTAGGCCACCTACGGTGGGGTTTGCAGTGTGTGTCAAAGCAGTGAGAGAGGTGTTACTGCTCCTAAACCCTACCACAGGGAACACAAAAGCCAGGCTCCATGGCGGGTGGGTGGGGGTCTCCACTGACTCTGAGCAGCACAACAAACTATCAAGGCTTCAAGGGGAGCCAAGGGGAGCCAAAAAGTGTCACCTGAAGCAGCTGAAATGCAGTGACTAAATGTTACCTGGGGCCCTGGGTCAGCAAAACCCAACAAACAAAGAAAAATTTAGGGGAAACAGAGGAAGTGTAAATCGTGAGGACAGCAGTTAATTAGCAGTGTGGTGAAGGGAACAGGGGAGTGTGAGGCACTAACCACAGAGGTCTGGTGTTGAAATGTGGGAGTCAGGTATATTTTCACAACATTCCTGTAGATCTTAATAGCTCTAAAATAGAAAATCCACTCTCCGCGATCAGGGTCATGTTGCTGTGCCTGCCCCCATTTACTCCTCACACACCACCCCCAAAGGACTGTGCCCTAAGCCACAGGCTCTACTGGCTTCAGGCCCCCCTGCCAGCCCCTCTCTCTGCCTGTGCTAGGGTCTTCATTGGTCCATTTCAATGGCTGCCTCCCTGGAAGCCATCCATTTGATGAGGAGGGCACAGCTAGCAAAGTGACAGGCTGTGGGCTGGTTCTGACAGGCACTGCCTGCTCTGGGAGCTACAGTGGGACAGAGATGCGGTCTAGGTCGGTGCTTTGCTGAGTGCTGAAGCTGGGCTGTGGTCACAGCAGCTGGGGCTTGCTGAGCTAGAGAGCCATATGTGTCAGGTAGAGCTAGGCCTCTTGTGCCAAGCTTCCCTGCTCTTGGCACTAGTCCAAGGAGAGCATTTGTGAATTGTCACTAAAGGGCTAAGGAGAGCTACAAACCCATAAAAGGAAGCAAGGCCCCCATTTAATGACAACACTGCCATTTCTGAAGTCTGGGATGGGACAGCTTTCTGGGTACCCCTGGCCCGGCTGCTCCTGCTGCTGTCCATACCCAGCAGCGGAGCTTGTGTCTCTCTGTGCATCGCATGATTTAATCCTGTCCTGCTGGCACTCAAAAATGTGCTGAGCAATACCTCCGCCGCCTCCCCCACAACTGTCCCCCTTTTCCCATGAGTGATTCCCCCTTGCACAACAATCCCTCTGGTTTTCCTGGGGATAATTTCCATTAGTTTGGGATACATATCACATGGCTGTGCCTGTTGCCTCATGGAATTTCATGGCTGGTAGTGGTAGTGTCCATGGATCAAAGAAGTGTCTGGTAATCCCCGAGAGTCACTAGCAGCAACCATTTTGAGGAAGAACCTTAGAGACTACATGTTCCAGTCCCCTCCTCTACTGGGCACTAAGAGAACTTAGAAGCCTAGAGATCATAGAGCAAATCTAGGGCCACAGAGGGAGTCCACCCCATACCATACTGAGCAAGATGAACACCAGTTTGCCCCACACCCACAAAACTGCCCACCCCTTGCTGGGACCCATTTGCTAGCCCTGGGGCAGGGTAGAGCTGGCACCGTGACAGATGCCACACACAGTCTCAGAGCTTTTAGGGGACACATTCCCCAGAGCTTAGAGCCTGCCTAATTGCCACCTCGATCTGCAGACATAGGAATGGAATTTTAACATGCAGTGCCGTGAGTGACACCAATCAAAGTGATTGATACACAATGGCAGAATCCAGAAATGCATCCAAGTGCCAAGAGAGGCAGGGTGACAGGGCTGGGGGTGGGGTGCATGACAGGGCAGGGTGACAAAAGACAAGCTGTCTATAACAGGAAGGAGGGTGTGTGTGAGTCCCACCACCACGGCCTTCAGAAGGGGATAGGGTGTTCCAGTCCTACTTGGATAGACATTGCAGAGACAAGGCCTGGGGAGCTCTTCCAACTGGACCCTCTGCCTTGTCCCAGTTCATGGAATGGCTATGGCTCACTGGGATCTTTCTGACAGAAGCTGGGCCTACCCTGGTAGGAGCGGCCTGTGACAGACACCCTGGAGGGAGGGAAGGGCTGCTGCCCTCCCACCTGCTTGTCCTCTTTGCCTGGATCTGTGGTGTCTCAGCAGCTGCACAGTGTACACAAGGAAGGCCATTGTTTGCTGCTTCAGCATGGCAGGAGATGAGTCCCCAGAAAAAAATAAATAACTAGCACACTGCCAGGGGCCCAGTGAGGGTGGGTGGGTGGGTAGTTAGCCACTCTTGCCCAGTGTACCAAATTCTTATGCAGTGGACAGATCGGATGACACCTTCTACAGGGGACAGGCAGCTACAACTGTGAAATGCAACTCTGTGCAACTGCATTCTGAACAGTCCCCTCCCGCTGCCTGTGAGCCAAGGCTTCTCTCTACAGGAGCAGCTAGGGAGGGTCTTGCCTACTGTCCAGGTCTCTGGAAATAGTGCTGTTCTTGCCTAGCTCGTACTTGGGGTAATAGGGGTAGTCTCACCAGTGTCATATCAGGCAGCTGTCAGGACAGGCCTATGAGGGATCCTGAATGGCAGCACTGTGTGGACTGCTTTCATGTGGGGGCACACAGCTGGTTCTAGAACCTTCACTTCAGTGTCTGCCTCTTTCATTTCCAGTCACATAGTTGGCCAGTTGTACCTGGGAAGTTGTACATGTGGAATGGTACCACACGACTTCTCAAATCAGCTTAGAGAAGCTCTCTGTTCAGAGCTGTTTCTTGGGATACGGGCAACAGGCTTGGGTGGCTCCAGGGACCATCCTCACTGTGTACCACAGATGAGAACAGATGCACCATGGTATGCCTGTGAAACTATTCCTAAGAAGGAGCGGAAGCCTCATATTTAAGAGAGACTGCTAGTAGAGTGCATACTGGGAGTATGCATGAAGCCTTGGGAGGACCTCTAGCACTACATCCATAGACTGAGCATCATCGTACATACCTGTAATTCCAGCACTCTGGAGGTGGGGGCAGGAGGACTAGGAATTCAAGGTCATCCCCAGCTACAGAGAGAGTTTAGGTCAGTTTGGACAACTTAGTGAGATCCTGTTTCAAGAATAAGAGCCAGGTGCAGCTGGGTGGTGGTGGCACACACCTTTAATCCTGGCACTTATGAGGCAGAGGCAGGAGGATCTCTGAGTTCCAGGCCAGCCTGGTCTCCAGAGCTAGTTCCAGGACCGGCACGGCTACAGAGAGAAAGCCTGTCTTGAAAAAACCAACAAAAAGAGTGGAGGGAGTAGAAGAGAGGGAGGATGGGAGAACAATGGGGTGAAGTAAGCAAGAATAACAACCGAGAGGGAGAGAAACAGGAGGGAGGGGAAACACAAATTTCCCAGTAACACATGAAAATGGCCTAGTTGTTGAACGATGGGGATAAAGATATGACACCACTCAGAAGTAGTGAGAGGCCAGGCAGTCTGGCCACATCTCCGTGCTGTATCTGAGGAAACACTCACGGTGTGCCACTCTCAATTGCCTACAAGCTGTTCACAGTGATCACTGTGGCTTCCCAAAGCCAGCTGTGCTGCTTTCCTATCTTCCTTCCAGCCTGGGTGCGGAGCACACTGCTGTGGACTCCTCCTGAACTAAATTCCTAAGTGCAAACACTAATGGCACGAGGAAATGGAAGCAGAGACCATGTAGTTCTCAATGCAAGGTCACCAAAACCCAGGAGCTCCATCTAGGTGTTTCTCTTATGCTGTCTAGGAGGCTCAGGCATCTATAGAGACTGAACACAACCAGGAGAAAACAGATGTAAGGCACAGCCAATAAGGCAGAAGATTCTAGACACCAGAGACTGCAAGTGTGTGAAGAAGCAGAGGCAGAGGGACAT